TACGGAGGAGTGGTCACTCAAAGAAGTCACTGGGACACTTCACAGCTGCAGGGGGTCCTTGGGAGAACCACTGATTCTTTGTAGGGAGGGGGTTTCTCTGTCATTCCAGACTGAAAAATGGCAAAGAAGGGTTTCACTTTTTCAGTTTGGGTTAATTTTTGTTTTCTCAAAAGTTTTAAGTGTATGGCCTTCCCCCCCCACTCCAAAATTCAGCCCCCATCTTTACCCATCAAAGAGTGAGTCAGCCAAGTGATTCCTACCCTTTCCCTTCACAAGAAAGGTGAGTCAGCTCATTCTCAGCAGGACCTGCAGCACAATAGTCCCACCTCAACAGCCCCTGGGGAGAGCAGGTCTTGGGAGCAGCCGCCAAGGGCCAAGGCCTGAAAGAAACTGGCAGCCCTCCAATAAATATATACCTGTACCAGACCTCTAAGTCACGGCTCTTCCAGATCAAGAATAAAATATGCCCTGAACCTACAGCCCGAAGGCAGAAAGGCTGGGCCAGCTCCATAGTCCTTAGCCAGTCTGTACAAGGAAACACCTGGGCATCCCCAAATGAGGTCTTCCACCCAGGGATTCAAATTCTGTTGGCTGGGGTGGGCTCCAGGCAGCAGTGTCCATGTAAAACCCTGCCTGAGTGATAGTAATGTGCAGCAGGGGTTGAAAGCCACTGGACTAGAAGGTGTTGACCTTGTCCACAGCACAAACTAGCTCCAGGACCAGCCTGGGAAACAGTCACTCTCCAGCCTATAGGATGTGAATGATTAAAACACGTAACACATAATGCAGGGCGTTTTCATTCTGGAACTTGAGTTCAGGCAAACTATATAAGAAACCTCCCTACCACGGCCTCCCAACTCTGAGCCCACACACAGCTCTCATCCTGGGAGTGAAGAGTGCACTTTCCTGTTCCAGCCAGCTCCCCCTCCCCCAAGGGAGCCCCGTGCAACCCACCTGTTCTGCTGTCTCAGTTGGTTTCAGAACTTGCCATGCATACACAAAGCACACCCACACCCCCAGTTAGCCTCGCAGCTAAGTAAGTGACTCTCCCGAAGGAACAAGGAAGTTTAAAAACAAAACAAAACAAAACAACTTATTTCTCGGTAGACTGAAACACAAATGGGAAGAAACACATGTGTTTGCTCCCTGTCCTGGGATCCAACTTGCCAAAAATGGTGTCTGGGCCCAAAGCTAGTTCAGGAGAGCAAATGAGCAAAAAGGAGGAAAATCGGAGTACAGTCAGGTCACAGAGCTTCCCCAGGAGCTCCCTCAAATAAATAAATAAATCTTTTAAAAAAAAGTATGGACTTAAAGCCTATAGGAACCACAGGGGACAGAAGAACATGTTAAATAATACCACAAAATTGCCATTGGCCATATTCGGAATGAGGGAAACAAACAACACAGCTTCTTCAACAAATAGAGAAAAAAAAAGAGAGTAGGAGGACCAATAGATTAGAAGAGACTTATCAGTCAAATATAACGTGTGGGACCTCCGGGTTCCTGATTCAAACAAACCAATTATTTAAAAAATGATGTGATGGGGCGCCTGGGTGGCTCAGATGGTCAAGTGTCTGCCTTTGGCTCAGGTCATGATCTCCAGGTCCTGGGATCGAACCCCATGTCCAGCTCCCAGCTCAGCAGGGAGTCTGATTCTCCCTCTCTCTCTGCCTTTCCCCCTGCTTGTGCTTTCTCTGTCTCTGTCTCTCTCTCTCAAATGAATAAATAAAATCTTAAAAAAAAAATATGACAATCATGGAAATGTGAATAGTGCAATGGACTGGATGTTTGTGTCCCCCCCAAAGTCATATGTTGACTCTTAACCTCCAGTGTGAGGTTAAGTGATGGTATTCGGTGATGGGGCCTTTGGAAGGTACCCTCATGAATGGGATTAGTGCCCTTATAAAAGAGAGCCCAGAAAGATCTTTCCACTCTTCTGCCATGTGATGCTATAGCTAGAAGGCGTAGTCTATGAACCAGAAAGCTGGCTTTCATCACAGTTTGCCAGCACCTTGATCTTAAACTTCCAGCTTCCAGAACCATGAAAAGTAAATTTCTGTTATTCGTATGCTACCCCATCTATGGTGTTCTGTTATAGCAGCCCAAACAGACTAAGACAAATTGTGACTGGTTTGATGATATTAAGAAATAATTATTTTAGGTGTGTTAATGGTATTGTGGTTATATTAAAACAAATCAAAAAACCCTCTGATACCATGAGAGAAAGAAGGCACTTCACCTCTGTGATATTCTTCCCCCAAAATGCATAACCCCAATCTAACCATGAGAGACACTAGACAAACCCAAATTGAGAGATATCCTACAAAATACCCGACCAGTACCCCTCAAAACTGTCAAGGTCATCAAAAACAAGGAAAGTCTGAGAAGCTGTCACAGACCGGAGGAGGCTAAGGAGACATGACAACTAAATATAACGTGGGATCATGGATGGGATCCTGGAACAGAAAAAGAACATTCGTATAAAAAATAGTGAAATCCAATAAAGTCTGGATGTATAGTTAATAGTAATGTTCCAACGTTGGTTTCTTAGTTTTGACAACTGTACCAGGGTCATATGAAATGATACTATTCGGGGAAACAGGGTGAGGGTTACATAGGAATTCTGTTATCTTTTTGTCTTCTGTAAGTCAAGTAAAAAAATTTATTTTAAAAAAGTCCTTATTTTCTAGAGATACCTACTAGCAGGTACAACAAAATGATGGGCTGTCTGGGCATTGCTTTAAAATAATTATTTGGTTGGAGGCACCTGCGTGGCTCAGGTTATGATCTCAGGTTTGGGCTCAGGTTATGATCTCAGGTTCCTGGGATGGAGACCTGCATGGGGCAACATGCTCAGGGCTCCCTGCTCCGCGGGAAATCTGCTTCTCCCTCTCCCTCTGCCCCACCCTGCTTATGCTCTCTCTCTCTCTCAAATAAATAAAATCTTAAAAAGATAAATAAAATAATTCATTGGTTGGGATTGGGGGCATACAGATGAAATGAAGCTGGTCTCACAGTGGCAAATGTTGATGCTCGGCTGGATCTTTCTTTGACAACTGTCTCCACTTCTGAATGTCTGAAAACCTTAATAAAACAAACAAGAACCCTGGAGCCATACTGACTAGGAAGTGAGTTAATCTGTCTGTGTGCTACAGGTTCCTCATCTATCATATATGGTGTAATTGTATCTGCCTCACAGAGTTGTTGTGAAAATTCAGTAAGTCAATATGCCAAAGGCTGGAACAATGCTTGGCTATTATCATCATCGTATGGAAAGAAAGATGGTCACAGACCAAAGCCCAGCAAGGCAAGTCATCTTTCTCCACCTTCTGACACTGCTCATTGTCCTTTCTCCCCCAGCCTTCCTGCACAGAGATCCATGAAGGATGGAAGGAAGAAGGGCTCTAGGGCAACACTAGGGAGTAAGGAAAGACCTCTGCTCCCAGTCTTGCAGAAAGTGATGAGATGTTGGGGCCTGAGGGTGGTGTCCCTGGCGTGGGCTCTGGGAATTGGACCCTGGATTATGAGACACTCAGGGTTCAAGTGGCTGAAGGCAGCTAGCGTGGTGGAAAGGAGGGTTGGGGGAGGGGGTCTGATTTCAGGAAGTAGAGGTCAGCAGGGCTGGGCTATGTGGGCCTTTGAGGCCCCTCCAAAAGTGAGGTCCTTATCTCAGAAGCAGGGTAAGCCACTGGAGATTGTTCAAGTGTGTGCTGGGGGTGGGGAGAGGAGGGAGTCACCTGATCAGACCTGCATTGTTGAGAAAACCAAGTGGAAGAAGGAAGCATTGGAAGGGGGCCAGAGTGGAAGCAGGGAGAACTGTTAGGCTTCCACAGTGGCTCGGGACATAGATCACGGGGGCTTGGTCTAGGATTCCAGCAGGGGAGATCAGTGGATTTGAGAGCTGCTGTGAGAGATGAGCACACTGGGCCTCTGGTTGTATTTGGAGGGTGAGGGAGAGAAAGAGAAGTCTGCAGGGGACTTGCAGGTTTCTTGGGAGTCAACTGGGTGGAAGTTGGGCTGCCGGCACAGCAGGGAGTGGTGTGGGAGGAGCAGGAGGTGGGGGCAGGGAGCGGAGAGAAGTTCCTTAACAGGGACAGTCACCTCCACTGTGCTTTATGCAAGTCACTATGCCGGAGAAGGGAAGCTTCCAAAGCAAACAAACACTTTCACCGCCCTCAAGAGCGGTGCCAGAAAGAATACCAGCAAGGGCTGAGTGGAGGAATCTCAAATGTGCGTTTATGGCTCCGGCAGTGATCACAGCAAAGGCCTCAGGCATTAAAGCCACTGAGAAGTCCTCAGTAAATGTGTGTGTGACTGAATGTCCCAGCACAGGTACCAGAAAAAAGGACAACCCACAAACCTTTATTCAGCACATTACCATGTGTCTAGCCCCACCTCGGGGTAAGATGGAGACGAGGAAGGGCAAGATCAGCCCCTTCTCTCAAAAGATGCACACAAGGGTTGAGGAGAACAAGTAACGACACAGAAGTGTTAGAGGAAAATAGGACAGACGGTCACTAAAGGCTAACCTAAAAGGATCCCTCTTGGGGTGGCCAAAGAGGGGCTTAGGAGAGAATCGGTTACCTGGTCTAACCAGGGTAATATCACACGGAGGAAGGGAATTCAGGGGGGTGGTGCCTGGTCCTTGAAGAGTGAGTTGAATGTGTGCGGAGGGCTGGGAAAGGGGGACAGCCAATAAAGGGTCACTCGAGTCCAGGGAGAGGCACCCCTAACAGTCTCACCCTAGGTGGCACTCTCCACTGGCAGGAAGATGCCAGTCTTGCCTCGGACATCTACATGCTGAGATGGTTTATTTTTTTAAAGTAATTAAAAGTCCTGTTTTAAAACAGTGAGGACATTCTCTCAGAAGGCTCAGGGGGGCAGTTCCTTAATTATCAGCGAAGCTCGGTGCACCACTTTCCTGGAACCAGTCCCTCTCCCACACAAGCACCACCACCAAGAAAACAAAAACACAAAACACAAAAAACCACCGCACCGACCTTTGTACAATTTCCTTTCTTCCTGCAAACTTCTTTCTGTCCGCCTCCGCTGCCCCCCACCCAAGGCAAGCCCGGTTCGCTTCAGCGGAGCCTCTCGGCCCTTTTCCTAATAAAGTCCACCTCCTCGGCGCTGGAGGCAGTAGAGGACGGAGGGTACGAGGCGGCCCGAAGCGTGGGTACGGCCCCTCCAAGCCTTCAGCCCTCGCCGCACGTCCGGGTTGTGGGTTCGATCCCCGTCTCCGCGGCCGAGGGCGAGTTAGCGACGCCCTGTCGGGGGTCCCCGAGTAAAAGGGCCACTGTCACCGTGCTCCGAAGAGACCGACCGGGTCGGACAGAGCCGAGCGCTCGGTCGCGCCAGGGCCCGGGTGCCAGAGACCCGTCTCGGAGGTCGCACCGGGGGAGGGGGCTGAGGCGGGCTCCCGGGGACGCGGACTCCCTCTACAGCCCGCGGCCCCAGGGGATGACACAGCGTTTCCTCCGCACCCCGGCTCTCCCCGCATGTCCTCGTTCCATCCCCGGCAAGGCACCAGCCGGCGACTCGCTGCGTCAGCGAATCCCCCGCTGGAAGGGACAGGGGTCGCCGGGCTGCGAGAACCCCTCGGCTCGTGGCCCTAAACCATCGCGCACTGCGGACCCGGCTTGGGGGTCGAGGGCTGGGAGCCTGACCGCGGGGTGCGGACGCTGCCCGGGAGCCCCGCCAGCAGCTCGCAAGGAATGTCAGTCCCCACCCAGGGAAAGTTAGAAGGCATCTCCGTCACGCCAACTTGTCATCCAGAGCCGAAGTCGAACTTTCCGCCGGGAGTGGCTGGCTGCACAGCCCAAAGCGACCCTGCAGAAGCCGCTCGGACCCGGGCACCCCAGGTCCCCGGCCGCGACCGACCGTGACCAATCATCAAGCGCCTCAGGCGGGAAAGGCTGGAGGGCGCGGGCAGCCGAGGAGTGACGGCACCGGCGGCCAATAGGGAGCCAAGGTGGGAGTCCACGTCCATCCTGCTCACCAATGGGAGAGGGTTGGCTGGGGCCGCGGTCCCCGAGGCAATAGCTGCAAGGCTCCCCGGTGGCCGCGGGTCGGAGACCCTAGGACTAAAGGGGATTTTGGAGAAGAGTTTGCTCGCCCACCCTGTGCTACCCGCCGACCCTCAGACCATAGCCCGGTCCTCACCTGCTGGAAGCGGGGTTTACCCAGCTGGAAAGGAGGTGCATCGGTCGAGGTGTTAGCGGCACTAGCCGCCGCCGCCGATGCTGTAGTCGCTGTATCCGCCATAGCCACTGACGCCTGCAATCTCCGGCCCTTTTAAAATGTCCCTCCTCGGCCCCCGCCACAGCTGCTTCTCCCGATTGGCCATAAGCAACCGCAGCGAGCCCGAGGCGCAAGGGGTTGTGGGGAGCGTAGTTTTTCTCGTCACGGCGCTTGACAACCCTAGACTGCGGAGAGTTGCACCGACTCAAGACCCGGTCTCGGTTCCTGCCGCCAGCTCTGCAAGGCTCGGCAGTGTGGGAAGAGTGTGCGTGTACGACTCTAAGGTCCCAACAGTGGGCCATCGGGCTACCCCTCGCCGGTTACCCTAGAAGTTTGAGTTGCTGCGGAGGGCATCGCTCCTGGGGCTCTAGCCCAGAAGAGCCCTACTCAAGCGGGCCTGACCTGGGACTAGATGGGCAAGGACTCCAGGAGGGATAGGGTTAATCCCGGAAAGCTTTCTGCAAGGACTGGCACTGCAGAATCTTCATGCGGTTTCTTCTGTCGCTACCCTGCCCCTCCCCTTGTGCTCTCCAGCCCTCCTGACGCTCGGTTCCAAGAGCACGCTGGGCGCTCCTTGCCCCTGACCCTTGAACTTTCCATACCCAGAAAACTCCATAACTTTTTATCTTTACCTGACTCTGGATCTCCTGACCTCAGCCTACACATTGCATTTCCCGATCCATCACCCTACTTCCACAAAATCCACTTATGCTCCTATAGTACCCAGTACCTTTTCTGCAGCCCATGCGTACTTACAGTTATTATGGTTTTGCATGTGTTTCCTACTGTAAGGTCCACGGGACAAGAGGTGTTTTACTGCTAAGTCCTCAGTGCCAGGCTTGGCAGGGCTCGCAACAAGGACTCAGATATTTGCTGACTGTGTGAGGTAAACAGTGGGAGCTTCAGAGCCTCAGTGGGTTCCACTTCCTTTGTCCAACTAAGGAAGATCCCTCCCCAGCCTAATTCCCCAGCAGGAAGAGAACTGGGAGTGGGGTTCAGTCGTGTTTATTAAGCACTACAAGGACTTTAGGTGAGAGAGAGGAGCGTATATCATAGAGCAAGACACCAGCAAGGATAATAAACACACTTGTGCAGTACAGAGTAGAAGGTTCCCCAGCTGAATTATCTGGTCAGTGAGCCAGGCTCGGGGGAGGGGAGGGAAGCTGCCTGTTTCACCCAAAAGGACAGGAGAAATAATTCTGACCTTAGGGAGCCCCACTTTAGGTCTCCTTCGTCTCACTGTGAGATGCAGTGTTGGCTCACGCCTGCTCATGTCCTTCTGGACAATGCATGATCTATAGCCGTCAGTTCCTCATCCATCAACAAGAACCACAAGAAACAGACTATTCCTAAAGCCAGAGAAGAGGTGCTAACTAGCCATGAAGAATCATTTGTATCCTGGATTTGTATCTTTCCCAACTAGACTAAGCGGTTTCAGAGTAAGAATCAGGTCTTTTACCCTCTGTATTCTCCCACAGTACTCAATGAATGTGGGTCTATTGGCAAAGAAAAGACTGAGTCCAGGCCACTGGGCAATGCTGTGCTGCTGCCCCTGGTGTTAGGACAGAGGCAGTGACATCCCAAAACCCCATCATCTGCCTTCTCCCCGCTGGAAGCCTCCTTTCATACATTTATCAAGACAGGAACACCATAGAGCCACCTGCAGTATGTGAACTTTTTATTCTTCATAAAGTGCTCAAAACATGAAGAACAAGCTCTTTATAAACAGGAGTAACAACTAGGAAGACAAACAGCAAAGCAAAACTGTGCCTGCTCTCTGCCCACCCCACCTGCAACTCTCCAAGTTGTGGCCAGGAGCAGAAACATCCAACGGGAACCTTGGGCTTCAACTCAAAACTCTTCTGAAGACATCCTTGCCCTGGGCATTTTGAAGGCCCAGTCAAGAACGAGCAGAAGATCAGGGTCAGGGCTGGTAATGAGTAGAGCCCAGAAGAATATGTAGTGGAAGAGTGCTCCCCTTCCCCCAGAAGAGATACCTACCCAACCCCCAATGACCCCCAAAAAACATGACCCAAGACCTGGATACCTGTGGACACTCCTCAGCTTTGATGAGTGATCCTTAGGGTAGATAACATTACAGGGGCTTTCCCCTCGTGTGTGGGGCTCCTCTGCTTCATCCTGGCAGAAGACATCACCCATAGAGCACATCTCCTTCCAAGGCTTTTAGAGAGATCCCACAGGCCCCCTCAGGAAGAAGAGGAGGTCCCGGAGGAGCTCTCACCTCCTTGCTGGGCCAAAAGTATCCTCCTTCAGCACCTCACCCCAAAACCTTTGCTAAAGCAGGGTACCCCAAGTCACTAAAGGTTCCCTGAAGATGCCATGGGAAGCCTGCCATGTTTTCTGCAAGCAAACCAGGGGCTGGGCCAAAGGACAGACACTTCATTTCAAAGTGCACTGCAGCCAAGCCAGGCAAGGCCATGGGGCCGAAGGGACAGGCTGGGAGAGCAGCTAGTAGATGACAGGAGGGCAACAAAGGCTTTTTCCTAAGTATAGGCAGAACGGGACCTCCTACTTCCCGAATGTAGTTGTTATCTCAGGAAGCCTCTCGGTTGGGGTTGAGGGAGGAGGAGGAGGTGGCAGGAAAGTTAAAGGAGCAGTGGCAGCTTCACCAGACCCTTAACTGAAATTAACTCTAGGGGAGGGGTACAGGAGCACAGCAAGGCTGACCCATCCTCCTTTCCCATTTCCAGGGCCTGACAGATCAGGCCCCATGTGCTCAACAGGGAGGGAGGGGGACACCAAACAGAGGGAGAGGTCTACATCCAGAGGCTCTTGACCCCACCCACAAAAGGCACATTTTAATTGGTTTCCAAAAGTTCAAACCCCACAGCAGCACAGAATTTTGGCATCTGGACAGGCAACAAAAACAAAGATGGAGGCTTGATCCCCAAACATAAGCAGCCCAAAGCCCTGAGGCCTGTGGAGGGGCCCACAGCTTGGAGGTGCGCAAAGAGGTGCTCACCCTTGCCCCAGCTCTCCACACAGTCACACGTGACGCTCAGTGGGAAGATCAGAGGAGGAGGGCACGGGGGGCGCGGGGGGAGAGCACACACATCTCCCTCCATCCACGTGGCCCTCGCTTTGCAAACGGCTGGAAACACACAAAATCAGGACACAGCACAGAGAAGACCAAACCATACAGGCTCCTTGCTCTCAAGGGAACAGACATGAGGCTCAGTTACCCATAACTGCAGACCAGGCAGCTTGGTTCTTGCCACAGCCCCAGGGATGCTAGGAGCCCTCTAGGGGCTGGAGACAGATGAGGGGGACAAGGGTTTAGCCTTGGATGAAATGACTGACAGTTGTTGTGGGGTAATAAAGTATGTCCCAGATACCACATCAAATTGCAGCTCACCCTTGCTCTGACTTGAGGGCTGAATTCTTTGTTTCAATTCTCTGGAGCCCCCAAAACTAAGGGATACGAAAACAGGCAGGTGGGAAAGACCCAGGGAGGGCTCCCAAAGACACACAAGTTGTACATGGAACCTGATGCCTCCAATGGGAGTCCCAAGGGCCCCCCTTCCAGCAACCCCCATGGAGGCAGGAGGGAGGGGGAGCAGGGAGTGACAACGGAGGACAGACAGCAGCCTGCCCAGCTGAGAGTGAGTACAGCGGGAAGGAGGGCAGCGCAGGCCCAGTTTGGGCAGTGGGCTCACGCCCACCCTCCCGGGGGCAGGGGCGAGGAGGGCTACTTGGAGGGGTCCGGGGGGATCTGCAGCAGTGTGGGTGAGGTCTCCATGATCCGCACCAGCAGCCGGTCAATGTAGCTCTCCAGCTCCCGCACGTGCTCATCCCGCTGGCTCAGCTCCCGCTCCCGCTGCAAGAGCAGGCTGATGAGCTCGTCGTGGGTCAGGTGGTAGTACTTGGCCGACTGGTCCAGCACACCTGAGTCCTGAGGCCAGGAATGAGAGTGAGCAGGGCGGTCTCAGGCCTACCTGCCCATCCGCCCACCAACACCCAGATTTCACCCCTACAGGCCCCTGGAGCGGCCTCCGTCTCCAATGCAAGAGACCGCCTAACTGGCTTCAGGGCCCTGGCGTGGGGGGACCGGGCCTGCTCTTTGGTCCCCCCTGCCCAGCACCCCGCTCCTGACCTCGGGGCGCCTGACCTCTCTCCACAGCACCACATGTCTGGCATCCTGTCGGGCCTCACCTTCAGCCTCTTGGTGTCCAGAGTCTGGCCAACTTGGGGGGCTGGAGCCACAGGCTGCACGCTGCCCGATGTGACAGTTTTGAGCTTCTCCAGCCCACTGCTCAGAGCTGTGCTCAGACTGGAGCGGGACTGCTTCCTGTCTGGGCTGCCCTCCACAGGGGCAGCACTAAGTGGCTTCACAGGGTGGGGACTGTGGAGACAGAAAGGAGATGCGTTATGGTGGGGGGGGGGCAGCGCCACGAAAACATGGGGCCACCTTGTCTGCCGGACCAGCAGCTCTGCTGGCCAGGAATCAGCACTTGGTGGTGGCCGCCCCTGCACAGCCAAGGCCTTGGGGTGGCTGCAACCAGCGCTCCTCAGCAAGCCTTCCCTCCTCCTCCCTCACTGCTCTCCTCACTCCTCAACCCCACCGCCTGCCCCCTCTCCATTTTACTCCCTCAGAAGGCCTGCCCCTTCACAGGAACAGCAGAGGCCGGCCCACAACCTTCTCTGCACCTACAGCCAGTCGTTACCAGGGCCACCCCCTCCTTCTTCCCTCCCTCTTCCATACTGTAACCTTTCTCTGGGGGACTGACTGACCCTCCCAGTGTCCCCATTTTCCGAGAACTGGGGACTCCCGGGCTGTGAGGCTTTCAGTGCTAAAACCAGGAAAGACCCGGGCAAACTGGGACA